AAAAAAAAAAAAAAAAAAAAAAAAAAAAAAAAAAAAAAAAAAGAAAAGAAAAGAAAAGAAAAGAAAAGAAAAGAAGGGAATGAACCTTACTTGACATCAAAAGTGTGTGTGAATTTTGTGAAACAAAAGAGTAGCAGAATGTAAGAAGAACTTTCAAAGAAGAAGAAACAGGGAAAGCAGGAAGAATGGAATGGAAGATAGACCTTTTGTTGTTCTTCCTTTTGGCAGTTTTTCTTTTCCCCTTTTTTTCTCCACTTCTTTTGTAATTAATTTTGTGAAGTTGTATTTTTTTCTTTTTCTTTCCGGGTGCCTTGGGCGTGGCCCGGCACGATAATAATTGTTAGTATTTGTTACTCTTCTCTTAAAAACAGAAAAGTCGACTCATTTCTTCTTTTTTTTTTTCCCTGCTGGTGGAGAATTGCTGTACCCACCAAGTCCGCTGCAATTCCAGTGTCTCTTTTCTTTTTACTGCATGCTGGTATGGGTGTGTGTGATAGGTGGGGCCCTGGGGGGCCATGTTGATGGTAATGGGGAAGGGGGAAGGGGGAAGGGGGAAGATGGGGAAGGAGGAGGAGGTTGAGGGGGATGGGGAAGGAGGCAGGTGGCCATGTGGGGAGGAGGTTGACGGTAGAGCTGGAGAAGTTAGGTGAGGATGGGGGGATGGGTAGGTGGTGAAGGGGGCAGGAGTTTGGTGGTAATGTGGGAGGAGGTAGATCGAGATGGGGGAGGAGTCTAGCAGGTTAATGGCGATGGGGGAAGGAGATGGCAACTGGGGGGGAGAGCGAGGGAGGGAGATGGAGAAAGGGGCGAGGGCAAGAGATGGTGCAAAGGGACAGCGAGGGGTAATAAATTAATAATCCTCAGTTCATTTTCCAGGTGTCCCATAGGCGGTTTCAGGAGGGATATCTATTCATAGGACTGGTTAATTACACACGAGTGATTGGATGTGTGTGTGTGTGTGTGCGGGGGGGGAGGGGGGGGGGGGGGGGGGGGGGATATGCTCTTTTTTGCTTTTTGATGTTGGCCAAGGACCTGATCTACAGAGAGTTTTCTGAACACCCTCCCCTCCCCTCCCCTCCCCTCCCCTCCCCTCCCCTCCTCTTCGTGGCCCCCACACCCCACCCCAGCAGCGAAAATAAAAAAGTTGCTTTGCTCAGCTATATGCAGGTACTACCCACATGTAAGGCCAGTACTTATACTAAGTAGCAGACAGCTTTTCGATATCAGCCTGAGCTCTCTGCCCATCTGTGCTCGCATTGATTGTTTAATTAAATTAATTTTAATTTAATTAGAGAATTGACGATTTGACACGTGGCATGCAGGTGGAGATGGTGCTCTCACATTGCCTGCGGGTGATCAGCAGGTGGGAGAACGTGACTTCCGAGCTGACAAAGCTCACATGGCCGCGATTCGACGCCCACATCTGGGAAGGAAAGCCATTCGAAGACAAACTGCTGACCGCTTTCCGCAATCGGATCGACGAAATTCTGAAGATAAGAGAGGTTAGTTTGCAAAACACAAACATTAAAAAAAAAAAAAAAAAAAAAGTTCTAAAAAACAAATAAACATTCTGGGCATCACTGCACCCCTCACTAAATGTGCAAAATGAGAAATGAATCTTCCCCTAGGACATGGGAAGAAGATAGACCACCGTATTTTTTTCTCTTTTCCGCATGTGCTGAGTAGTGGAGCGAGGGCCCTACTCCACTACTCGCCAAACGTGCAAAATGAGAATGAATATTCGATTAATATTCCGCCAGAAGCCATGAAGCCATGGGTTCTGAAACAGTTACTACTCCACCTGATCTATTTTTAGCCAAAAGGCCGAGAAAGGTGTTCTTTTAAAAAAGGTTTAGTTTTTTTCTTTCTTTCTTTCTTTCTTTCTTTCTTAATTATATCAAGAGAAAAATAGGAAAGGAAAAGAAAGACCCCAGCCCTGTTGAGAGAGAGAGAGAGAGAGAGAGAGAGGGTTTTGGCAACAACTTCCTTTTATTTTTTTAAATTGGATTTGCACTTTGGACGTCCTTTGCATCAAACAGAAGAACAAAAAATAGAGTACCGCGTACGCGTCATCAGACAAGGTTTAATCTGTTAAACGGAACTTAAACCCCTTTCCCAAAAACAAACTTTGTAAGACAAGAGTACAACAGATTTCATCTGTTCAATAACAAACCCACTACCATCTGTACAGAAAACATCCTCCCGATCCTACAAACACAATTGTTTTTTCGAAATAAATACAAGCAACACCTGTCTTTCTTCTTTCGCTACAACAACACTCGTCAACACTGCTATGCACCCACAAGAGAAGCGAACTCATCCTACTCTGGGACTGCACTCATTCTCTGCCCTCAGCTTCATCATTCTCCACTCTGCAGATCCACAAACTGTAAACCCTAAACCTAAACCCTAAACCCTAAAACTTAAGCCCCCCAAACCCTAAAACTTAAGCCCCCCAAACCCTAAAACTTAAGCCCCCAACCCCCCTAAAACTTAGCCCCGAAAACCGTAAACCCTAATCCCTAAACCCTAAAACTTAAGCCCTAAAAAAACTCAAGCACCAAAACCCTAAAACTCAAGCCCCCGAAAACCCTAAAACTTAAGCCCCCAAAACCCTAAAACTTAAGCCTCAAAAACCCTAGACCACCACCAAGTCCTCTCCTGCAACATCACCACTGATTGCTAACTCTAATTCTGAAGAAGAAATTCCTGGAAAGTACTGCTGATGGACATTATGAGGGCAGATTTTCGTCCTAGGAGTCTGCGCGTAAACAGATGACGATGAAACTGCACGATCGTACGAGTTGAGACACTGTTAGAATAACTAACCAACTTGGTACGGAAAAGTGATTCCTTCTTTTTCTTCCTTTTTGCACATGTGACCATTTAATCGCTTTCCGAATGGGAATAAGAGCCTCTGCACTTTCAGCTTTCTTTTCCTCATGCGGCTTGTAAAACACCTCCCTCACTAAAACAGCTCTCCTCTCGTTCAGTCGTTTATGAAACATCTCCTTCTCCTCATGAAAACAATCCAGTCTTCTCGCGACAGATGCCTGACTGTCGAAAGACGAATCTCTGCTAAAAAAAAGAAACAATAACCACCTTCAACCCCAACCCCAACCCCGATCCCCAAACCCTAAACCCTAAAACCTAAACACACCCACATACGTCAGGCTAGCACAACCAATTTCCTGGCAAACGGTGCAATCCGAGGAAATTCTGCAACGAACCTGCGCCTCATCTTCCAAAACGGCGTTTCCTTGTGCAGACTCTTACACATTCCCAACCACCCACCCCTGAACCTCAGACACTCGAAACGTCTCATAGACGCAACAGCTGCTGCTCCAATACCGCTGCCTCCGACCATCTCTTAGGAAACTCAGGCAATTAGGTGAGCTTGCTTGCCAAGTAAGTAGAGTAAGGACGGGTTCGAACCATCGAACGTGGTCCATTCACACCGCGAATCCAATCTTTCTCATACTGACAAGTTGCTTATATAGCTTAGATGGTTACACAAGCTTCAGCGAGTAGCAGAGGCTGGGTAGAGGTACGCAACCTTTTGGTCTGCACTCCCTCCACATATCACGAAGCAGGATGTTTAAACCGCTCCTTCCTCCTTAGTAGATGGTCACACAAGCTTCGGCAAGTAGCAGAGGTCTGAACACGAGTTAGCGTATGTGATGCATCCAGAGTGTTCTCAATCGAATTGCTCATCACCTACCTTCCTCCTTTGCGTGCTCACAAACATCCAACGGCGTCCTGCCGAGAAACATTCAGATTCAACAGACGGTCTCGAGAAGTCATCTGGATGCATCAGCAACCATCGATCTCATCCGATGATACCGAAATGCCAACAGGTTAGCGACTCGTTTTCTGCCCAAGAAGCTACGAAATCATTCCGATACAACGCGACGTGTGCTAAATCCCAATCACTCTTTCCCTTCCCCTCCTTATCCTTCCCTCCGTCTTCAGAGCTGCAGTGTCCTCATGTTGACTCCTTATGTTCACCTGCAGACCTCCTTATCTTTCCCTTCTTTTTCTTTCCCTTCTTTTTCTTCCCCTTCTTTTTCTTCTCCTTCTTCTCCTTCTCTGCTCAAAATCACAGAGTGACCAGGATTATGCTGCAAAAGATCTAGGAAACACTTGGATGCAATCACAGGCGTTTGTTGACCAGATACAGAAACACCCACAAGAACCCGCAGATGAGTAACTCAAAGCATTACCCAGCAGCTGAACCCCTCCTCCTCCTCCTCCTCCTCCTCCTCGTCTTAACTGCACAGTTACCATGGCCATCTTCTGCAGAAGATCTTACGGAAGCCACTCGGATGCGATCATGACCGCTCATCGATCAGATTACTGCTGGAACGCCAGCAACGACTGGTGGATAAGCTACACGAGTAACCTGATGCACCAACCTCTTCACCTCTGCTGTCATCATACGCCATCATAGCTAAATGGAGTGCCGTCGCCGGGGAGCATTCAATTCAATCGGGAAGACAACTCCTCCTGCCAATGACGAGATGGCAGATGAGCAAACAGACAAAAAAAAAAAAAAAAAAAAAAAAAAAAAAAAAAAAAAAAAAAAAAAAACAAACAAACAAACAAACAAACAAACAAACACACCATGCCCCTCCTTATGCGCCTTGTCTCAGCCGTCATCATAAATAAACGGAATGTAGTCATCTGGGGAATCTGGGACTTCAACTCAATCCGAACCGCCCCTCCTCTTGAGGGAGGACTTGATGGTGGAACACTCCTTCCGTCCAAGGTCTGAGGGGCAGCATTCGGATCCCACAACTGTTCAATCAGACCTGTTGCCAGTGGCAAGGAACATCCACCTAGGTAAAGCCCATGTCCCCTCCTCTGGAGTGCATTTGGGGTAGTTCGGTCCAATCCATCAAACCGCTCCTCCTCTTGGCGAAGACTTGACAGCAAAGGACGTCTTCCACCGAAGGTCCGACGGAAGCATTCGAATGTGACAAATTGACAGCACAAACATTTACATTAGTTGCTGAAAGGGAAAAGAATTCAAATCCCGTCGATCAATCCGAAGCGCTCCTCAGCTTGACGAAGACTTGATGGCGAAGGACTTCTTCTGCCGAAGGTCTGAAGGAAGGATTCGGATTCAACAACTGTTTAATTAGCTGCTGGAATGGCAAAGAATACCCAGGCAAAAGCATGACCTTTCCTTGCCTGATGGCTTGAAATTGATGCCCAGACGATGGAAGAGGGGTTCCTCTGGCCAGTTCGTAAACCGTCACTCCGAGCGAAAACATGTCAGTCTTCGGTAATTGGCTGTAGTTATCATTAAGAATCTCTAACGGCATGTACCTAGCATCTCCTTCTTCGATATCCATGCTGGCATCACACTTTGTCGCTCTCCCAAAATCGCCAATCTTGTATACCCCTTGGTCTTCCAACACATAGATGTTATCGGGTTTTAGGTCGAGGTGCACCAGTCCTCTGTTGTGGAGATGGGCCAAGCCTTTGGAAAGCTGGGACAGAATCTGCAGGAGATCTGTCTCAGAAAATCGGGATCCATTGTTTCGTATATGCAAAAGACTTGCGGAGCAAAGTTCGGTCTGAATGTACAAGTAATCGTTCTCAAACCAAGAAGTATAATACCGTAGAATGTTGGGATGACAGCCAGCCACCGAAAGGGCCTGGACTTCTGTGAGTGCCTTTCTCCTGTCCAGATCACTGAGTAGCTGTCGATTTGTCCTTTTGACGGCATAAAGACAGCCGTCGATTCGATGGCGAACTTTGTAAACACGACAAAAATGCCCTCGACCAATTTCTGCAATCTCCTGAAAGTCCTCCCGATACCTGGAGATGAAGTCACTTGTAGGGGGCAAAGAAGTAATTACAGAACAAGACTTCACTCCAACAGCAGAGCCATTAGCCAACTTCCGCCCATCCGATTCCTCGACTTCTCCTCTTCCTCTTCCTCCTGCACTCCCTCCTCCTCCTCCTCCTCTTCCTCCTGTACTCCCTCCTCCACCTCTACCTCCTGCGCTCCCTCCTCCTACTCCTCCTTGTGTTCCTGTTGCTCCTGCTGCTCCTCCTCCTTCACCGCCACCTCTTCCTCCTGGTCCTTCCCCTGTTCTCCCTCCTCCTCTTCCTCCACCTTGTGTACCTGCTTCTCCTGCTGCTGCCGACCCTCCTTTGTCGTCTTCTGATAAGAATGGGTTCCGGATCCAAAAGGGGGATTGCTTAAGACGTCTTCTCAAGGCAGCGAGTCGAGTACGAGTGTTGGGGGGAATTGGTGCAAGCACGAGATTGGAGACATCAGGTCCACCTGCTCCTCCTCCTCGTTCGCCGATTCCCCTGCCACAAAAAGCCGAGGCTATCATATGACCACCCTCCTCATCTTCTTCATCCTTCTTGAACGACAACCCCACCACTCCTCCTCCTCCTCCTCCTCCTCCTCCTCCTCCTCCTCCTCCTCCCCATCCCCCTCCTCTCGCCCATACCTCTCCTCCTCTTCCTCCTCCTCCTCCTCCTCCCCATCCCCCTCCTCTCGCCCATCCCTCTCCTCCTCCTCGTCCTCGTCCTCCTCCACCTCCTCCTCCTTGAAGACACGTGCCATCGCCCGGGTTTTGTTGATGGAACAGAGCCCCGTCTGTTCTTTGCCTCAGATTCCCGCATGGTTCCTCATCATGTGCCCCTGTGGCAAATCGCATGCAATCGGGACCTGGTCCCGTTCGTAATCCCGATCCCTCTCCCACCGTCCGGTGTCTGCCTCCTTGTTGGTCTCTGCGGGCCTGATCATCGGCCCTGGAAGTTGTCACCCGTTGATAATGAGATTGCGGCGTGCCATTCGCCGACGATGACAAGTCCACTCTCATTGGGGATGCAAGTCCGTTAGATGGGCTGGGCGATCCCAGCATGGCGTCATCCCCCCGTTGACATCCGGATCCCGGTAGTCCCAGCCTGCTACCGATGATGGCCTCATCGGTGGGGAGCTTCTCGATGGACATCGGGACCGGGCGCAAGCCGGTGTGATCCTTCATCGAAGTTTCCGGCGCTGATGGAGTCTTCTGCCTCATCGTCGTCACTGCCATCTTATCCCATGATTGCTGCTGAGGCTGGGAGGAGAGTGACACTTGTCCGCAATCGGACGTTGGGGACGATAGTTCTTTCCCTAGTTTTTGAGTAGCAGGAGGGGGGGACCACAGAGGCTCCGCGTGCTCGCTCTCCTCCACCCCTCTCCCCCCTTTCCTTCTTGCTGATGGCGGCGGCGACCATAACGGCACTTGTTCCAGCTGCTGCTGGTGCTGCTGCTGGTGCTGCTGCCGCTGGGTCCCTTTTCCCAGCGAGACGGGCGACCACAGCGCCTCCGGATCCTGGTCCTGTTGCTGCTGATGATGATGATGATGATTATGATGATCCCCTTGTGCGCTGGGATCCTGACCTGCCCAGCACAAAAAGCTCAGGTCTTCCCGGGGGCGTTTCCCGCGAGGAGGGGTCATTTGCACGGGCGAGTTGCGTGGCGCGATCTTGTCCATCCGCGTGGCATCAAGATCAACGGAGAACTGTTGTTCGACAGGTGTGATGAAATCAGGGGTACAGAAGAAGTCCTGGCTGCAACAAAGTGCAGTGTCGTTGGAATCTTCTCCCCCGCCCAGAGGAACAATGCGCTGCAGAAAGGGAGGGGCAGGAGTCACAGAGCTCTCGTCGGAGCGACGGCCGCCGCCGCCGCCGCCCCCGCCCCCCCCCCCCCCCCCGCCCCCGCCCCCACCGCCGCCAGCGACATCGGGACCGCCGACCGGTCCCGCGCTACCTCCCCAATCCCAACGACCGGCAAACTTCCCTCTGGAGGGATGATGATCGGCGAACCCTCGGCCGTTGCCCTCACAATTGACACGTGTCGAAGTAGACGGCGCTACGCCGCGCCCAAGAGCCATGATGATGATGATGATGATTTCACTTCTCCAACGCCGTCAGGCAATCCCGTGCCGCTCGCTTTCCCGCCACGTCAAACACTCTTCGACCGATGCCAACCAATCACAGGCCAAGATTATTACCTTGCCATTGAGTCACACCGTCATGCTGTCACGCAAACAGCGAAAATATGCTCGAGGTATGCATACATATTTCATATCCGTACAAATATAAATAAATAAATATATATATAGGAAAACGATTCCCAGAAAATCGACACCGTTCAGGGCTTCTGAACGTCACACACGTGTCACACAAATGCACAGTAACAGTTAGATGGCACGGCCGCAACACCAGACTTACACGCTACACTGTCGCACACGACGGGGGCACCAATGTCGCCCACGATGCCGATGCTTCGGATCACTCTCGGCTACGTAGCGGCACACAGAGTATTCGTATCGGCCGTAGGCAACAATCCGGGTGCGCATAAGGACGTAATTACGGTCAGATACATCTAGGAAAGTCCTGTGAGTACCCAAAATGACAGCTTTGGATTGACGGGGATATCAATCAAACAAAGTGTTCCAAATGACACAAACCTAGCCACGTGGCGGTCACAAAATGATCATTACCTTCTACGCCGCCCTCTTCCCCCTCCTTCTTCCCCTCCTACTGATGGCTATTGCTTTTCTGGGAGCGCACCGTCAAGTGATATTCAGAAGCTGCGGTCCAAACGGCATGTGGACCTATTAATGGTATTAATGCTTAAGACCAATCAACTGGGCTGATGGGCAGACGGTGCCAGCTGTCATCCGGGAAAAGACAAGCTTTGGAGATCAATCAATCAATCAATCAATCACAGACGATGCCAGCTGTAATCTGCTGTGAGAGCAACCAAGCTGGGATTATTACATGCTGTGCGCTATGCGAGATCTCGACTAACTGCCATTAATCAATCAATCAATCACGATGAGCCTGATTGCCATCTACCCAAGACAGCTCAGATCAATTGAGGCTGTGTATTTCTCCAATCATCCTGATTTACGTCGTATAGGCTAATGGATATTCACTCGATTGATGAGCGCACGGATGGATGGTACAAGCGACAAACGAAACGACGGAATAATAGACAAACGGACCAGAGATCGATATATCAAACGACGTAAATCACTAGACCAACGTACAGCCAATTCACCAAAGGAACGAAGTTCAGCCGGTTACTTAATTAATACCACTGTGCACCTCACTGAAGACAGACCACAAGAGAGCGCCAGTCGAAGAGAGAGAGAGAGAGAGAGAGAGAGAGAGAGAGAGAGAGAGAGAGAGAGAGAGAGAGATTGCAGCGCGTTCTTCGGGCGAGATATGCAGGGAAGCTGAGGAGATGGAGATAAGAGCAAGGTAGAAGAGAGAAAGTGAAAGTGAGGAGGAGAGAAAAAGAAAGAGGGAAGAGGGATGAAGGGGGAGGAAGAGAGGGGACTGAGAGGGGACAAAGAGGGAGACAGAGGCGGAGAGAGTGAGAAAGAAGGAGAGATTGCTTACAACAACGGGGACAGACTCACAGACAGACACAGAGAGAGAGAGAGAGAGAGAGAGAGAGAGAGAGAGAGAGAGAGAGAGAGGGAGGGAGGGAGGGAGGATTAATCAATCATCATGTGTACATCAAGTTATCATACAATCAATCCGCGTAGACAGGGATGAAGCTCAAAGATTGCACGTGGTCGTCAATTGCCTCGACTTCATCAGGTACGGTAGGGAGAGAACAAGGTACGGTAAGGAAAACGGCTGCGAGCCACCGAATTCATGGCCAGATGGCATCAGGGAAAGTCCTAGTCATCAAAGGGTTAATCCCTGCTGTGGATTTTTTACAAAGAACAAAAAAAACACCGACTTGATTTGCTTTCTCCTCTCTCCTCCCTCGCCCTCTTCCTCTGCTATTGACCACCAATTCTTATCCTGTAAGCCCCTTCCCTTAAATAAGCCGTACTGATGAAGAACTCACGCACTCGCCGCCGCCTACCAAGTCGTCAGAATTCCTCCAGGCGAGATCAAATCAATGGATATGTCACTGCCACGTGACACGTCACTACCTTTCGCTCTTCCGATGTTGACGAATAGCACTCAACTCTCTCTCTCTCTCTCTCTCTCTCTCTCTCTCTCTCTCTCTCTCTCTC